CGCTGTGGGCTAATGCGCTGGACTGCAAAGTCTTTTGTACCTCAAGGTTGGCAGTTCAAACTCACCAGCCGCTCTTCGGAAACCCTATACAGGGTCGCTATGGGTCGGAACTGACTGGACGGCACTAAAAACAAAAACAAAACACTACTCAGGGAACTAGGTTAAGAATTCTAAACTGAGTAACTAAGTAAGCACATAGTTGGAACATTAAGTGTCTGAGATATATGAGCTTGCTTTACATATTCACAAACACATTTTTTGCCAATAACAGCAACATCAGAAGGAAATTTTTTCCAGTGAAGAAATTTCTTCCAGGGAATTCCCCACCAATGCTTCCCTTCAGATAAATTTCTAACATCTTATCTGAATAATACTGGCTTAGTTTTTGATCTTAGAAGTAAACATAAAACCATATATCCCATATAAACCTGGGGTAGATACATGGATATCTTAGGCTAGGTTCTCTAGAGGAGCAAAACCAGTCAGTGAAGCATATGAAAATATAATAGAAATATGTTGTTGCTGTTAAGTGCTGTCGAGTTGATTCCGACCCATAGAGACTCTGTATAGGGTTTCCAAGGAGCGGCTGGTGAGCTTGAGCCACCAACCTTGCAGTTCAAACAACTTTGCAGTCTGACACATTAGCCCACAGCACCACACCAGAACTCCAGTAGAAATAAGTTGTTATTGTTTTGTGCTGTGGAGTCAGTTCTGACTCATAGTGACCCTGTACAGGGTTTCCGAGGCTGTAAATCTTTACGGGAGCAGAAAGCCTCATCTTTCTCGTGCAGAACAGCTGGTAGCTTCGAACTGCTGATCTTGAGGTTAGCAGCCCAATTCGTAACCACTACACTACCAGAGATCCAGAGAGTAATTTATTTCAAGAAAATGGCTCATGTAGTTATGGAGGCTAGCAAGTCCCAAATCCGTGGGCCAGGCATCAGGCTGGAAGTCTCTCCTCAAATACCTGCAGGGCTGATGAACCAAGATAGGCAGGCAGGTAGGCAGATCTGGCAGGTAAAAAGGCAAGTTGTTGATGACTCCTAGTATCAGCAGGTAGTAGAGCAGGCCACTGGCTGAAGTCCAAAGAACCAGAGGTCAGAGAACAAGCCAGATGTCAGATCCAAACTCAGCAGAGAGCAAGTTTTGCCCACATGTCTAGTGTATTGGAAGCAGGCCCAAGGAAGCCTCCCTTCAACTGATGAGCTATTCTTAACAACTGTATTATAGAGTTGATTACATTATATTTCACTCTAGGTAGCTCAAGAGGACAGCATTTGCCCAAAAACAACCTTCAGAAGGCAGCAAGGGGTGGGTTGTTGTTGTTAAGTAGTTGTATGGGTTCTGACCCATAGCAGCCCTATATATGGTTTCCAAGGAGTGGCTAGTGAGCTTGAACTATTGACCTTATGGTTCAAATGAGGCTTTGCAGTCCAGTGCATTAGCCCACAGCACCACACCAAGACTCCAACGGTGGGTAAGAGGAACAAATGGAAACAGGGAGCTCAGGGAGGAAGTAAGAAGAGTGTGTTGTTATATTTTGAGGGGATTGCAAATAATGTTTGAAATAAATTGTGTATAAACTGATGAATGAGAAACTAATTTATTGTGTAAACTTTCACCCAACCATAATAAATGTTCCAAAAAAATCAGAGGAAGGAATATTAACCTTAATTACCATCTGAAGTCACTTAACAATCTACCACTAAGTTGCTGGTATGCGACAACTGCATGTCAGGGGCAGTGGCTCAATGACAGTAAAACACCTAGAAAGTACTGCCTCAAAGGATTTTCATAACAAAGTACCCCTCCTCCTGGCCAACTTTTAGCAAGCAATTGAGTGTGCTAGCTACTAAGCAGAGCCTCTGAGTGGTACAAATGATTCACACACGCATCTGCTATATGAAAGGTTGCAAGTTTGTCCATTACATCATGCATGGATAAATAAAATGTGCTATATCTATACAGTGGGATACTACTTAGCAATTAAAAGGAACATGGATGAACCTTGGAAATAGCGTGTCAGTGAAAGAAACTAGTAAAAAAAAGCATATGTGAAACCTTGGAAGTAAGGTCTGGCAGTCTACTGACAGAATATCAGCCATTGAAAGTCATATGGAACATAGTTCTTCTCTGACACACGGGGTCGCCATGAGTTGGAATTGATTATGGCAACTGGGAAAACCGAGGAACCAATAACTGAGAACCCAAGAACTTGTTCAAGTGATGGTTCTCTTGTATATATTTTTGTGACTTGAAGAGGTGACTTCTAACTCCAGGATAAAATGTAGAGTGTAGTCTTCATGATTAGTATATGATTTTGTGGAAACGTACTAGATTGGTATTAGAAAGTCTAACTAACATCTCAGGTGTATGAAGAAGGTCATTGTATTTGCCCTATGATTCTACAGAGGTATTATGGGGATTAAACAGATAAACTTTGTTAAATTATCTGAAGCCTGGCCTCAGCTTTGCTTGGAAAGGAAGAAATTAAGTCCCATGGAAGAAGCACAGACTAAAGACTAGGCCATGATCTCAGCAGAGCCACTCAGAAGTTGAAGAGTTCCTTGGGAATTTGCTTTATTTCTTTGCGCTTTCATTTTTCCTACCTAGCTCTCTTTGTACCCACCATCTATCCAGCCATCCACATTTAAATATAAACATAATCATGGAGGCTGCTTATCATCATCTGCTCCGTGGGAGAAAGATGTGACCGTCTGCTTCTATAAAGATTACAGATATGCAAGCCCTACTCAGTTCCGCTGGAGAAAGATGAGGCTTTCTGCTCCCATAAAAATGTACAGCCTTGGAAAGCCTGTAGAAGGTCACTCTGAGTCAGAACCGACTCCATGGCACTTAACAACAACAACAACTCAGTCCCATAGGTCACCATGAGTTGGAATCCACTGGAAGCAATGGGTTTGGTTTTTGGTAGGGAGGGCAATAAGAATATTAAATGGCTTTTATTGTGACTCTAAGCCCATGTCTATGGGATAAGTGTGCACTAAACAATATTAGCCTACCTCTCACTACTCCTCCCCAACCAGGTAAATGCCTAGAGGAAAGAATAACAAAGTAAAAGACACTTCAGCTAATTGTTCTAGAGACATCTTAAATGTTACACGTCACTGCTAACATAGTTGCTTCCGGATCTTTCCTGCTTTGTTTCATTTTCTTCTAGATGTTGTTGTTGTTGTTGTTAAGTGCCATTGAGTCGGTTCCGACCCATAGCGACCCTGTACAGGGTTTCCGAGGGTATAAATCTTTACGGGAGTAGAAAGCCTCATCTTTCTCCCGCGGAGCGGCTGGTAGTTTCAAACCACTGACCTTAAGGTTCGCAGCCCGATTCGTAACCACTACGCTACCAGAGCTAATAATAGTTAAAATAGTCCATTTTAGTCATAATAACAAAAAACTGGAAATGACCCAAATGCCCATTACGTCATGCATGGATAAATAAAATGTGCTATATCTATCTATACAGCAGGATACTACTCAGCAATAAAAAGGAACATGGATAAACCTTGACAATATCTTGTCAATGAAAGAAACCAGTAACAAAAAATCATATGTGAAATACCAAGAATAGGAAAATCATTATCAATAGAACATAGACTAGTGCTGCCAGGAACTAGGGGAGGGAGAGGAAATGGCTGCTAATGGTCTTTAAAAAAAACAAAACAAAACTCGTAGAACAGTAGTTTAAGCACGCTGTTCCTAAATGAAAGCTAGGTGGTTGGTATCCACCAGCTAGTATATACAGCGTTTCCTTTAAGTGTGATGAAAATGTTCTAAAATTGTGATAATTGTTATATAGTTTCTAAAACCCACGGACTGTACACATTTATTGGGTGAATTGTTCAGTGCATAAGTTATATCTTAGAAAGCTGTTATAAAATTCAAAGGGCTGTGTAACTATGGTGTTGTTGTTAAGTGCCGTCAAGTTGGTTCCGAAGGGTTTCCGAGGAGCAGCTGGTGTGTTTGAACTGCCAACCTTGCAGTTGAGTCCAGCACTGATCCTACAGCACCACACTGCAGTTTATCTTAAGGGTTTCTGCTTCATATCCTTTGCTCCAAATGAAGGTGATATATTAACAAGCATTTAATTGATCTAAAAATTAAATGACGGGAAAAGTCTTATAAAATGCTATAGTATTCTTTCCTCAATGACTAGCCAAAATTTCCAGTTATATGAAGTAAGAAAATAGCTTGTATACAATTGTTGTTGTTGTTGTCAGGTGCCATCGAGTCGGAACCGACTCATAGCGACCCCATGCACAGCAGAATGAAACAATGTCCGATCCTGGGCCAACCTCACTACCGCTGCCACACTTAAGTCCATCAATGATGCCACCTGGCCAATCCCTCTCGTTAGGGGTCTTCCTCTTTTTCTCTGACCCTCCACCTTACCCAGCATGACATCCTTCTCCAGTGACTGTTTCTTCTGGACAATATGTCCAAAGTATGAGAGACGAAGCTTAGCCATCCTGACCTCCAAGGAGCATTCTGGCTGCACTTCTTCCAAAACAGATCTATTGGTTCTTTTGGCAGTCCATGGCACTTTCAGTATTCTCCTCCAACATCACAACTCAAAGGCATCAATTCTTCTACGATCTTCCTTATTCACTGTTCAGCTTTCATATCCATATGAGGCTATTGAAAACACCATGGCCTGGGTCAGGCGCACCTTAGTCCTCAAGCTGACATCTCTGTTCTTCAATACTTTAAAAAGTTCCCGTGCAGCAGATTTGCCCAATGCAATACGTCATCTGATCTCTTGACTGCTGCTTCCGCGAGTGTTGATAGTTGATCCAAGAAGAATGAAGTCCTTGACAACTTCAATCTTTTCTCCGTTGATAAGAATGTTGTTTATTGGTCCAGTGGTGAGGATTTTTGTTTTCTTGACATTGAGATGTAATCCATATCGAAGGATTGTATACAATTAGGCTCGTTTAAATAACAACACTGAACCACACTGATAATGAATTCTATTGTTTTAGGTACTGAACCTGGTTCAGTCATACGTGACCCTTCGAGTTCCACTGTACGTCTCCTACGTGTTCCATTCTCCTGTGGGGGTTGGAGGTTGGCAGCATTTTGACCTGAAGTCAGAGCTCCGTCTGACTTTTGTGTATGACACTGCCATCTTGTGGAATGATGGGATTGGCAGTCCACCAGAAGCTGAACTCCAAGGTGGGTTACTAAAACTTGGTAGACCCTAATTTACTTATTTGTTTTATGTTCAGGCAGTCCCTAAGTACAAACCATAGTTATGAATCAACCTTATAAAGTGAGGCACATACAATAGTTTCTTTGCTATGTGCATCAAAACATTATTATTATTATAGTGGCCTTCTTATATTAAAGAATTGTTCATTTATCTGGAAGTATTTTTTAAATGTTTTTATGCATAGAAAGGTGCACTTTATACTAAGATAATCATTTGACTAACTGACATTAGACACACACTGTACCTGCTAGTTGGAATAGTGGGTCCGACATACATATACATTTGACTTTAAAGACAGATTTAGGAATAAAACTTGTTCATAATCCAAAGACTGCTGTATTTCAGAGATTTCTTTTTTTATTTTTATCATAGCTAAAAATAATACAAGCAACTTTCAATATATTGCATTTTTCTGTTTGGTATTCTAAGATGATTTCATTTTCATAGTAGAAAGCGCTTTAAATCATTTCGGTTTTTCAAATTTTGATTTATGTGTTAACATTTGCAAGTTTCTATATAGATATTTAACTCTTACAGCCTGTTTTAGGTGACTATTTGTATGTTATACTACACAGACAATATATTTCCCTGGATTCTATAAAGTGCATAGGGGTAGTTCCAGTTGAAAATGAAGAAAGAATCCAAGAAAAAAAAATTGTACATTTTAGTTTTTGGAAATGGGAGGTAAAATTTAAAGCCCAGTATAAATGGTGCCCTTGGTCCTAGGTCTGACCCTACACCTAACTGTTCTTAACCTTTCTGGAACTCAGCTTCCTCTGAGTGGTAACCTACACTTCTGCTATCTCTTTACCTTCTACCACTCTATTACTCTTTGGTACTGTAGCTACCTGTCATAGAACAGTGGTGAACGCACAGCCATCTGTAAAATCATAATTCAAAGTTCACAAGCATACCACTATGTTATATATTATGTTAAAGATGTTAATTAATCCACTAGTACTCAGTGCTGTTTCTTTTCAAATATGTGAGGGAGCTTCAAAAAGTTAAAGAAAAAATTCCATTGTCTTTTAATCGCATGTTTCTGAAAATTTTTGAAGCCCCCTCTCACATAATTATTCCGATTCCATGTAAGCCTGTAGCATCATGCATGCCTTATTTTTACTAGTCAGGAGCATAGTTGATAGTGTAAATACAGATCCACTATTCTAGACATTGCAAATATAGATCTGTTATCCTAGACATTACAAATATAAACTGGTTATCATAAAAGATTACCTTAGACCTATGTGAAAAGTAATAGTCAGCACCAACTGTTAACCACAAAGTCAGAGGTTCAAACCCACCAGACAGTCCTTGGAAGCCCTTTATAAGGTCGCTATGAGTCAGAACTGACTCAGTAGCACTTAACAACAACAATAAATAATAATTCTTGTTCCAGATTATTTTAAATGTTTTTATTCCATGCTGTATCTTGCCTTAGAAAATGTACACTTGAGTGATTTTTTTTTTTTTTTGGTTTTCTTTTCATTTTTTCCTTTGTGGTTCTCAACTTCGAGCTTAAGGATTCTTGCTTCCTTCTTTTATCTGTAGTGGTGGTGGTGATGTGTCATGGAGTTGGTTCCTACTATAAATCCTCTATAGGGTTCCTGAGACTGTGAATCTTTACAGGAGCAGACAGCCTCGTCTTTCTCCCACGGAATGGCTGGTAGTTTCAACTGCTGACCTCACGGTTAGCAGCCCAACTCATAACCACTACGTTACCAGAGCCCCTTATATCTGGAGTGGAGCCAAAGTTTGTCAAACTGCTGAATTTCTTGGGAAAACTTCAGTTTTCTTTATGTCTATAAGTTTGAAATCACTCTGTTGAACACAAACCTATTTTCTACCTATGTATCTAAATCAATTTTGGCAAGTTGGTCATATCTTAATTTTTGGAGACTAAAGCTTTAAAAATCTTACCCTATTCTAATCAACGTGTATATTTTATATAGACCTCACTCTGTCATCTATTCTATTTTTCTGCCCTTCTAAGTACCACAGTGGCTGAATAAACACTAGACTGCTATCCACAAGGTTGGCATTTCAACCCACCAGCTGCTCCTTGGAAACCCTATACAGGCTCACTGTGAGTAGGAACCAACTAGATGACAGTTAACAACAACAACAAACACTACAGAAATACTTATGCCGCTAATGCTTTATCACTCAGAATTCTTCAAATAATAGCCTGTGCCTAGAATGCTTAAAGATAAGAAAAGTATGAACTAATATTTAGAAGCTAGCTGTGCATTAGGAGTCCCTCGTCACCTAATTTCTACTCCTGTGTGCCACTTCCCATTGCAGGTTCTCTTTATCCAACCAGCATGCGTCTCAGTGAAGAGGGACGCTTGGTCGTGAACTTCAAGACAGAGGCTCAGTTCCACGGCCTATTTGTGCTGTCACATCCCGGTAAGACTGGACTCCCAATAACTGTCACTCCATTCAGTAAGGATGTACTATTACCATTGGCCATCAAAAGATTTTAGCTCATGGATATGTGTCAGACTAGAACTGTCCTCCATCAGGATTTCGGTGGCTGATGTTTCTAATTACTTTGACAGGACTTTTTTCTTAGGTACCACTGAGTCCTGGTGTGATGATGTACGCTAATACACTGGACCGCAAGGTCAGTTTGAACCACAAGGCTGGCAGTTCAAACTCACCAGCTGCTCCTCAGAAACCCTTTGAGTCGGAGCTGACTTGACAACACTTAACAGCAACAGGAACAACCACTGAGTAGACTTGAACCACTGACCTTTCAGATAACAACCATTTGCAACACCTAGGGACTCCACCCAGGAATATACCTTTTCCATTCACATGTTCCTCCATTAGCTTTGAAGCCCTTAATTTTAAAAATGCATATATGTAAATATTTACATTTGTTGAGTCCATTTTGACTCATAGTGACCCTGTATAGGGTTTCCAAGGAACAGCTGGTGGATTTGAATTGATGACCTTGTGATTTACAGTCCTGTGCCAATCCTCCAGCGCCACACCAGGACTCGGTGGTACCTAGGGAAAAAGTCCTGTCGATGGACTTAGAAACGTCAGCCACTGACATCCCTACAGAATACAGTTCTTCTCTGACACATATGGGGTATTTACATTAAGGCCTGATAATTGTTCAGCGCCATTGTATAGCCTATGAAATTAACATTAATCATTTTATATACTTTTAGAGAAAATTTTAAATGATTCAAGTAAACTTAAAAGGACACCCTATTGAGTTCATTTTAAGTAAAGTTTTCCTTAAAGAACACAGCAAAATTGTCTATTTCCCTGCTTTACTTCCACTGTACAGAAATTGAATTCCAGGCAAATCCTTCAGAAAGCAAACTCTTTTCTAGGTACTATGAGAAGCATTTCTATTTAGAGCCAGTAATGGCCCTTTGGAGTCCTGGTGTGGCACTGTGGATTAATGCGCCAGACTGAAAAGCCATTTGAACTGCAAAGTTGGCAGTTCAAGCTCACCAACTGCTCCTCAGAAACTGTACACAGGGTCGCTATGGGTCAGCATCAACTCTACAGCACTTAACAACAACAACAACAATGGCCCTTCAGTATTACACCTCATTTTCACACATGTTAATTATCCTTAATTTAGCAATTTTACTCTCTACGATAGATTGTGCTTTGACTATTAATAGCAGACAACACATACACATACATTAAAAAATTAACTGTGGAGTCAGTTCTGATTCATAGCAAACCCCCACATGTCAAAGTGAACTGTGCTCTTTGTTGTTGTTGTTGTTAAGTGTCATTGAGTCAGTACCGACTCATAGAGACTTCATGCACAGCAGAATGAAACACTGCCCGATCCCGGGCCAACCTCACTACTGTTGCCATGCTGAGTCCATCCATGCTGCCACCTGGCCAATCCACCTAGATGGGGGTCTTCCTCTTTTTCTCTGACCCTCCACCTTGCCAAACATGATATCCTTCTACAGTGACTGGTCCCTCCTGACAATATGTCCAAAGTATGAGAGATGAAGGTTGGCCATCTTGGCCTCCAAGGAGCATTTGGGCTGCACTTCTTCCAAAACGGATCTATTGGTTCTTTTGGCAGCCCATGGCATTTTCAATATTCTCCTCCAATGCCATAACTCAAAAGCATCAATTCTTCTACAGTCTTCCTTATTCACTGTCCAGCTTTTACATGCATGTGAGGTTATTGATAATACCATGGCTTGGGTCAGGTGCACGTTAGTCCTCAAGCTGACATCTTTGCTCTTCAACACTTGAAAAAGGTGTTGTGCAGCAGATTTTCCTAATGCAATACGTCATTTGATTTCTTGACTGCTGCTTCCGTGAGTGGTTATTAATGCCTTTTTTTTGAGGGAACTTCAAAAACTCATGGGAAAATTCCATTATCTTTTCATTCCATTTGTCTACGAACTTTTTCAAGCCTCCTACTAGATCTGGAGTCCTTGTGTGGTGCTGTGGAATAAAGCACTGGACTGCAAGGTCAAGTTGAACCACAAGGCCAGTGGTTCAAATTAACCAGCTGCTTCTTGGAAACCATATACAGGGTCGCTATGAGTTGGAACCGACGCAACGACACTTAGCAACAACAACCACAACTCCGGTTGTTGCTTCCAAGGCATCTTTGGGTTAACTTGAACCTCAGCCAATCATGGAACTGTTTTCTTCACCCAGGGATTCCAAGTAATATGGAAGCAGTCAGTAGTAAATGCCCATGTCGGTGTTCTTTTTAGTATTGAACATATTATTTGAAGTGATTGTTTGAAGTGTTTGTCTAATAAAAACAATTACTAAGGAGCGCTGGTAGCGTAGTGGTTATGAATCAGGCTGCTAACCTCAGGGACAGCAGTTCGAAACTACCAGCTTTTACATGGGAGAAAGATGAGGCTTTCTGTTCCCGTAAAGATTTACAGCCTCCGAAACCCTGTCCAGGGTCACTATGAGTTGGAACCTACTCCGTGGCACATAACAACAACTCCACATTACTAAATTAGTTTGCGTGTTTTTCCAGGGTACACTTTTGTGTAAGATACCCATTTTATATACATATCCATGGGTATGAGTTGATTCCAATTCATAGTAACCCTATCTATATAGGAGTTCCAAGACTGTAAATCTTTACTGGAGCAGACAGCCCGATCTTTTTCCCATGGAGTGACTGGTGGGCTTGAACTGCTGATCTTGTGGTTATCAGGCAGAGTTTAACCCACAGCACCACCAGGGCTCCATTTGTGTAAGATTTTTGTTGTTGTTGTTAAGTGCCTATGAGTCATTTCTGACACATAGTGACCCTATGTGGGGTTTCTGAGGAGCAGCTGGTGGGTTTAAACTACTGACCTTACTGTCCAGTGTTGATCCTGCAGTGCCCTACCAGGAGTCCAAGTGTAAGACAAGAAAGAGAAAATAGCTTACTCACTGGCATCCATGTTCTTCCTTTTTCTGGACATGAGCTCTAACAAAGGAAAAATCAGACTGAATGAATACTCAGGAAGTTAAAGAGGGCTTATTGTATTTTTAAGAGACTGAGCTACAAGAAATACAGAGCTAGAACTAATCATTTTGCCTTACTGGCATTGCCAGTCCTGGTCTTTCCACATGTCCCCTTCTACATGTCCATCTTTCTAGTAAACTGAACTTTTATTCAGCGTGATTACAGAGGATCTAATGAAAATCAATTCCATTTGTAAATTTTGCTTGCCCAGTTGTGTTGATGCTGATAGACTATTTTGAGCTCCAATCTGTAGCCTTGGTGCATTCACATCAACCTTTATTGCACTGTTCTAATCTCCCTCGAAAGTCACTCTGAACAATTTGTGTTTCTGTAAAATTATCTTTTGACAGAATTATCAGGTAAAAAGAGCACTGGGTTAGGAATCTGAAATAGCCCATCCTAGCTATGGGCTCTTAGGAGAGTCACATGGTCACTCCTAACCCAGTGTCTTCATCGACAAAATGAGGGTAATTTTACTAGCCTGCCTTCTTAATATACTTATAAGAATGAAAGAAAATGATGTGTGTAATATGGCTCTTTGAAAAATTTAAACATTCCTATAACTACCAAATTATTACTTTCTATTATTATTTTGTTGGGAGTTGCAAATGGTAAGCACTCTACTCCTAGCAGAAACGTTGACACTTCAAATCCACTGGAAGGTGATGTGTTTCTGAAAAGTCACAGCTTTAAAAGCCCTGTGGAGCACAGTTCTACATTTTTGACATACAAGGTCCCCCCAAGATTCAGAATCAACTCAACAGCAACTAGCAACAACAACGTTGTGGTGATTGTTCTCATTTTTCTAGCATCTTTCATAAGCTCAGTGATTGTGTCAGCTGATCACCCAGCTCTCACATTCTCCCTGCGCCTCATAAGGAGTGAGCCAACCTACAACCAGCCCATCCAGCAGTGGAGCTTCGTGTCCGACTTTGCAGTAAGTGCCGAAGGTTCTCACATGACTTTCCTTTACTTGGCTTGCACCTGAGATTTTTAAGTGAAAAATGCAAATGTCTTCTTTTTGTCTCAAAGGTCCGGGACTACTCGGGGAGCTATACTGTGAAGCTGCTGCCATGCACCACTCCACCGCACCAGGAGCATCGCCTGCCGGTCATCTGCAACCCGAGGGACCCGGTCACCTTTGACCTGGACATCCGATTCCAGCAGGTGTGACTCACTGAAAAAAAAGTGAATGTTTTCTCACCAGATGACTTTAATTCTTGCATGCAGAAAAAAAAAAAGAAAGAAAGAAAGGCAGGAAGCAAGCTGGGGAGGAAAGAATTGCCTTTAACCATTATCCGTGCAAGACACAAAGTCCACAGTTGTTTAAGAGTATACAAGGGTGATTTTCTTTTAACTGATCTGATCTTGTTTCCTGGTGGAGGTTTAGGTATTTCCCCACCTCCTTCTGCTCTTCTTAATCTTGTTTTCTATATTGAAGGAGAAAGGAAACCTGGAGTTCATACCCCCTCAGAGTAACTAAAGCTTTTCTGTATTAAAATGTCATCGTGGTACCTTTGGTCTGAGAACTATACAAACATGCCTTGTTTCATTTCAATTGGCTTTACTGGGCTTCACGGACACTGCATTTTTATTTTTATTTTTTTTTACAAATTGAAGATTTGTGGCAACCCTGCATTGAGCAAGTCTATTGGCACCATTTTCCCAACAACATGTGCTCACTTTGTATCTCTGTGTCACATTTTGGTTGTTATTAAATGCCATCGAGTCGGTTCCAACTCCTAGCAACCCTTTATAGGATTTCCAAGGAGCAGCTGGTAGGTTTGAACTGCTAACCTTGTGGTTCATAATCCATTGCTGATCCTACAGTGCCAAACCAGGAGCCCTCATATTTTGGTAATTCTCAAAATATTGCAAACTTTTCCATAATGTTACTGAATTTAATAAACTATAATGTAGTATAACATGACTTTTCTAAGCACTGGGAAACCATAACAATCATGTGACTCGCAATAAAGCGAGTCACATGATTGTTATGGTTTCCCAGTGCTTAGAAAAGTCATGTTATACTACATTATAGTCTATTAATGTGCGAGTATTATACTACATTATAGACCATATAATGTGCGAGTATTCACATTATATGGTCTGGAATCAATCCTGCTTTATCTCCAAGATGTGTCTGTAGTAAATGTTGGACTTCTATGGACAATGATATTGACAAGTCCCTTATACTGGTTGTTGCTGAGTTTTCTCTAACCCATGGCAACCCCATGTGCTTCATTGTGTTTTTGATTGCTCATTTCTCTAAAGTAGATCACCAAATCTTTCCTCTGAGGTACTTCTGGGAAAACTCAGACTTCTGACCTTATAGTTAGCCGTCTAGAGTATTAACTGGTTGTACCAGTAGAAATGCACTCAAGCAATGCTGTTTTTTTCCTAATTAAAAAAAAAAAAAATGATTAAGCTTGGCAGGTTTGCCTTCTTAAAGACAAAGTCAGTGTTATAACTGCTTAAGTTGGTTTAGTTGGGCATGAAAATTGCCATGCAATGTCTAGTGTTCCACACTGCTGATCTCAGTGGACATGTGCACCTGTGAGTGATGTGTCTGGGTACCATAAAAACCTCCACAACACTTACAAGGACTATTGTACTTTGTCCTAGGTGAGTGACCCAGTGGCAGCTGAGTTCAGCTTAAACACCCACATGTACCTACTCTCCAAGAAGACTCTCTGGTTGTCAGATGGATCCATGGGATTTGGACAAGAGAGTGATGTTGCTTTTGCAGAAGGTATGACTTTACAAAGGAGAAGATTGCTCACTGTGTTCGCCCTATGTGGTTGTAGTATTGGCTTTTCAGGATCCTGTTCGAGTGGAGGTAACCATAGCCTGTTTTATGGGATGGAGAATTTAACTGAGTACCAATTGGGAGTGCATTGGTGGGCAGCTGGGGGAGTGCTGGGGTTGGCAGACATTATTAGATGAGTTCTCTTCGGGGGAAGGTGACTTTGGATACAAGTCTGGATTTTTTATTTTGTTGTGGTAGTGGTTGTTGAGAACTTACACAGCAAAATGCACACCAAATCAATAATTTCTACATGTACAATTCAGTGACATTAATTACATTCTTCAAGTTATACACCATTCTCACCCTCCTTTTCCAAATTTTTGCGTCTCTCATTAACATAAAATTGCTACTCGCTGTTTTCTATCGAATCTTTTGAGTTACTGCTGTAAATGTGATGCCATATAGATAGATCTTGAAAGGGCATAATGCTCAAAGCAGATATTCTTTATTTTTTGTTGTTGTTGTTAATTGCTGTCAAGTCAGTTCTGACTCATAGAAACCCTGTCTATAGTTTCCTAGGAGCTGCTGGTGGGTTTGAGCCACTGACCTTGCAGTTAGCAGTCCAGTGCTTATCCTAAAATGCCACATCAGGGTTCCAAATTCTTATATAGTTGTTGTTGTTGTTAAGTGCTGTGGAGTCAGTTCCAACCTATAGCAACCCTGTATCGGGTTTCCTAGAAGCGACTGGTAAGCTTGAACTGCCGACCTTGCAGTTCACATGGCTTTGCAGTCTGGCTCATTAACCCACAGCACCACACCAGGGGCTAAACTATTGTTTTGTGTCAAGAAAACATCAGGGGATCTTTTTGGTTTAAGATTTAAAGATTATTGCAGGGAATACTTTGGGGGTTTATCCAGCCTCCAGGATCACGAACATTTAGAGTCCATTAAAATTTGAAAGTTTGTTCTGCGTTTTCCCCATTTTGGTCAATCAGAACTCTTTTTTCAAGTTGTATAGCTTCAAATACTGAAACTGCCTCTGAAGTAAATGCTTCCAGGGCAAAGACTGTTTTGCTCAATGGTGTATCCCCAAACCTAGCAAATAGCAGGCCCACATGGTAGCTGTTCAGTGAGTAGCTGTGAAGTTAAGTGATCAAATAAACCTACTTCAAAAATGAATTACAGCTAACTAGTCTTTGTTATTCATGTTTTCTTTATCTGAACGATTCTGTATTATGTTAGTCTACATATTCCCAATTAATTTATAAACTGACTTCAACCACAATGGCATGTTATGAATGTCAAATTATAGAACACAAGGAGGTCCTTTTCATAAGTGAGTCAGTAAATTTTCAGCCATTTGTGATCAATACATAAAGTGATTTTATCTAGGGAGGTCCTGGAATGGCCAGGTAGTGATGTCAGTATAGTAATGTCAGTATAGTCTTCAGAATTTGATGCCAGACCTAGGACAGAAGGCAGTCCTTCATCTAAGGTGTCGTTACAGTCATAAGCTGTTTGCACTGCCATAGGTGGTGGTGGTTGTTAAGTGCCATCAAGTTGTTTCTGACTCATAGCAACCCTGTAAAGGGCTTCCAAGGAGAAGCTAGTGGGTTTGAATTGTTGACCTTGTAACTAATAGTCCAATGCTTTTTCTACAGTGCCACACAAGGACTTATCACATAACAGAAATACAATTTCCTTGTCTTTGTTCCAGGTGATACAATTTATGGCCGTGTGATGGTAGATCCTGTGCAGAATTTAGGTGATTCCTTTCACTGCAGCATTGAGAAGGTGTTCCTGTGCACTGGATCTGATGGATACGTCCCCAAGTACAGCCCTATAAATGCAGAATATGGCTGCTTAGCTGACTCTCCTTCACTCTTATATAGATTCAAAATTGTGGTGAGTGTTCTAATCCAAGAGATGAACTATATAGGTTTTTAAGAGTAAACCTTCTTAAACAGTAACATCTTTCTAAATTAGGTAAACCAATCAGTGATAATGCAAGGTAATTTCTATCTGCACAAAACAAATATGCAAACATTCTTGACCTGCAACATTTGACATTATCTAAAGCATTTGTCATTTTCCTTCTCATTTAAAGGACAAAGCTCAACCGGAGACCCAAGCCACCAGCTTTGGAAATGTCCTGTTTAATGCTAAGCTGGCAGTGGATGACCCAGAAGCCATCCTCTTAGTGAATCAGCCTGGATCAGATGGATTTAAATTTGACTCAACACCACTCTTTCAGGTGGGCCGGGGATCACTCCCAATAGATGTGTAGTCACATTCAAGTTACTTGACCCACCTGTGTAGTTTGTACCTGGGTGTCACTAACAGCTAATGCTCAGAACTCCTAATTGAATGAATGAAGGTTCAAATCCACCCTGTTGTTGTTGTTAGGTACCATCAAGTTGGCTCCGACACATAGCGACCCCATACACAACAGAACAAAGCACTGTTCTGTCCTGCACCATTCTGAGAATGGTTATTACACTTGAACCCATTGCTGCTGCCACTGTGCCAATCCATCTCATTTGGGGGTTTTCTTCTTTTTTGATGACCCTTCACTTTACCCGGCATGATGGATGTCCTTCTTCAGGGACTGGTCTTTCCATATAACATACCCAAAGTATGAGAGATGAAGTCATGCCTTCATGATTTCTAAGGAACACTCCAGTTGTACTTTATTCAAGACAGATTTGTTTGTTCTTCTGGCTGTCCATGGTACTTTCAGTATTCTTCTACAACACCATAACCCAAATGCATCATTTTTTCTGTGGTCTTCCTTATTCATTGTCCAACTTTCACATGCATATGAGGCCATTGAAGATACCATGGCTTAGGTCTTCAAACTGGTATCTTTGCTCTTGAATACTTTAAAGAGGTCTTGTGTAACAGCTTTGCGTAACATAATACATCCTTTAATTTGTTGACTGCTTAGCTGACATAGCACCCAGAATCACAGCAACATGCAAGTTGCCACATAAGGATAAACAGAGGAGTATTGGAATCCACCAAGAGGTTCCAACCAAAAACACTTGGCGACCTACCTTTGAAATCTGTGACCCTATCGAGTACAGTTCTATTCTGACACATGTTGTTGTCAGGTGCCATCGAGTCGGAACCGACTCATTGCGACCCCATGCACAGCAGAACGAAACAATGTCTGATCCTGGGCCAACCCCACTAGCGCTGCCACACTTGACGCCATCAATGATGCCACCTGGCCAATCCATCTCTTTTTCTGTGACCCTCCATCTTACCCAGCATGACATCCTTCTCCAGCGACTATTCCCTCCTGACAATATGTCCAAAGTACGAGAGACGAAGCTTAGCCATCCTGGCCTCCATGGCGCACTCTGGCTGCACTTCCTCCAAAACAGATCCATTGGTTCTTTTGGCAGTCCATGGCATTTTTAGTATTCTCCTCCAACACCACAATTCAAAGGCATCCATTCTTCTATGATCTTCCTTATTCACTGTCCAGCTATTCTGACACATATGGGTTCACAATAAGACAAAGCTAATTCAGAGGCCCTGGCTTTAACTTTCTCATGCCTCAGATATCCCATATGTAAATGACAGTCATAACTCTTACTGTTAATGTGAGCACTGAATAGTATAATGCATATAGACCACAGAGCATTATACTGGCCATGTAGTGAGCAGACCAGAAACTCTAGCTAGTATTATTTTATGACTATATTAACATCATTTTAAGAAAGTGTATGATGCACATTCATACCATGCTGAGAGCTCTGCTTTTCTTATTCAACACAGTACTCTCTTCACTATATTGTTCTTGTGTGTGCATTGCTTGAAATAGACAGCAATTGTGCACAGCACACAAAATTTTTACTCCCCAAAATTTCCTAAGACAAGAAAGAAAATACTGATGCAGAGATAGAAGGTAGAGGCAGGACATGCAGGCATAACAACAGTCAGCAGGCAAATGAGGCAGATTTTGATTTGTGTTCCCATTGTGAATACCTACAGAAACAAGTTCACCTTTTAAGAAATTTACTGAAAATTCCCCAGATCAACTGGGCGTGGGGAAATCGATTATCCGTATTCAATCTGTGGAGCCCTGGTGTGGCACTGCAGGATAAGCACTGGACTGCTAATCACAAGGTCGGCAGTTCAAACCTACCAGGTGCTTCTTAGAAACATATATAGGCTCACTATGAATCGGAACCAGCTCAATGACACTTAACAACAACAACATTCAACTTGTGGAGGCAATCTAAAAAAACATGTTTGTTATTCTGCATCTTTTCAAACAGGAAGTTGAAGTAGGATTTTTTTTTTTTTTTTTTTACATTCAGCTCTCAAAGTATGTGACCTCTTTCATCCTGAATGCTTCAGAAAGCAGTCAGAAAAACCCTTCCTTTCACAGGTCATGGGAAGCATGAGAAAGGACTTCCCTGTGTGTGTGGTTTTTGTTGTTTTGGGGTTTTTTTAATATATAATTTTAACATCCAGACACACTGGAAATGAGTCCTGGGCTGAGTGCAGTTTGTGCTCTAGTCTTGCCTCGCCCACTAACTAGTTGATTGTCATAGGGAAAATCACTGAGCTGCGATTTATTTTTACTCATTCGATTTTAAAATAAGTTAGACTGTGTGGTGTCAAGTTCTTTATAGTTCTGACATTCAGGACATGCTCTGTTTAGATCTACATAGGATATCTTGTAGGTGCTTTATAACATGTCTAACAGTTACTGTACACTCAAAATAAGTAAATGAGTGTTGCAGACTAAATGAAATAACCATTCCGTATCTCCACCATTCATTTCTCTTGCAAATAATGACCTAGGCTTGTATAGAAGGAGCTCTGGTAGCATAGTGGTTACGAGTTGGGCTGCTAACCTCAAAATCAGCAGTTCGAAACTACCAGTTGCTCCGCAGGAGAAAGATTAGGCTTTCTGCTCACATCAAGATTTACAGCCTCGGAAACCCTATACAGGGTCACTATGAGTCGAAATCAACTCCACGGCATACAACAACAACAAGGCTTGTATAGGAGTCCTGGTGTGGTGTTGTGGGTTAATGTAAAGTCAGTTTGAACTGCAAGGTTGGTGGTTTAAGCTCACTAGCTGTTCCTCAGAAAGCCTATACAGGGTCGTTATGGGCCAGAACTGACTCAGTGTCACTTAACAACAACAAAAGGTTGGTATAGGAGTCCTGGTGTGGTGCTATAAGTATGGGACTGCTAAGCTCAAGATTGGCAGTTCAAACACACTGGCCACTCCTTGGAAACCCTATACAGGTTTACTATGAGTCAGAACCAACTCGACAACACTTAACAAGGTTAACATTCTAATAACTAAAGTTGTATTTTCTAGGTGTCTCTTGGTAGAGAATGGTACATACATGCGATCTATACAGTCAGATCCAAAGACAACACCAATCGAGGTCTTGGCAAAAGAAGTGTGGAGTACCAGTACCATTCCCTCAGGAGCTCTGGGATGCCCCAAGCATCTACCAAGAGCCAGAAGCATAGGGCGCTCAGGAGCACACCTCTACTGGCGTGGGAAATCGGTGCTAAAAATAACCGAGGTACAAATATCCAGCACATCGCCCTGGCCCACACGGACAAGAAGCAGACCCCTCAGGGCAAGGCTCCCCCTGATGGCATCCTCCCTAGAGAGCTCAGCCACCACAGTGCTGACATCAGTCTGGTCACAATCATTGGAGGAGTCACAGTGGGGCTGCTCACCATCTGCCTAACTGGCATTGCCATGATGATGTACAGAAGCAAAGAGAAACCCAAGAGGAAGGATGCCCCCAGTGCCTCAGGCAGCAGTGAGCCGATGATGCCTCCACAGAGCCACAACAGTGACAGCTCAGAAGTTTGATGCCCACAGGTAGAAGCCAACCTTTTCCTCAAGTGCCTCAGAAAGAACCACAATAGACCCCCAAAAACTCCTGGTAAACAGCAGAATATTGGAGACTTCTGTAAGCCCAGAGGACTTGCCTTATAGTAATGTACTTTGATTTGATTTCTGTGTACTTTTCCACACATCAAAAGACAAATTCAGAACACATCTTGCCTCTTGGCCAGAAGATGGCCACGACCTATTCATACCTGTACAGAGCCTTGGATCAACAGCGAGCATGCCCTTCTCACTCAGGCATTCCCTCTGTACAATGAGATGGGCCTATGCAAAGGTGCTAACAGACAAAGAATTTTAAGATAATTGTTGCTCTATGGTGTGAAATTTGAAGGTGCAATTATCACGTTGTTCATTCATTTTATAATAGCTTGTTACTAAAATATGTAGTTTGTAGTCTGACAAAATGATAAGCACATTGTTTATTATGATAAGTTTTCTAATAGACAAAGACCTCATAGAATTATGGCCAGCATTAGGTCAATACACAAATCATCTTTTCTACTATATGGGAGAGAGAGGAAGGAAAGATAGAGGAAAGGTAAACTCACTGACTAGGATTTGATTTGGTTCTCCTTCTTATCAGTCCTTCTTTGTTTTATTTATTCACTTAAGTTTATATAAAACCAAAGAATATGTTATGTCTGAAAGATTGTTTAATAAGAGAGGCTGCTTTCTTGTGGTGGTTGTTGTTGTTATGTGCCGTGGAGTCGATTCCGACTCATAGCGACCCTGCACAGGGTTTCCAAAGCTGTAAATCTTTACAGGAGCAGAAAGCCTCATCTTTCTCCCACGGAACAGTGGGTAGTTTCGAGCTGCTGACCCTAAGGTTAGCAGCCTGATTCGTAACCACTACACTACCAGAGCTCCTTTCTTGTGGTAGGTAGTGAGTAATAGTTTTTGCTTGATAACGTATCTTACTGGTGCTCAACATCTGTGGGAAATAAGAGAGTTGGTGGCATTGTAATGATGACAAAGTGCTATAGAGTTAGATTCTCATTTACAGGACAACGTTCTCTTAAAGAACTGAGCCTAGGCGATGTTTGCAGTATTGACTACATGAATGATTAAGAGAAATATTGATGCTGATGCTGAAGGGGGAAAGTGATATTTATTCATATAACCAGAGTGTTTAACCAGAGTGCCTCTTACACATACTTGATCACATAAAAGAACATTTTGAAAGATGAGGTTAGCCCTGAGATCACACAACAATATCCAGAACTTAAATTCGCCATATTCCTTACCAGTTTCCGTCAAGTCAATTTCAACTCATGGAAGTCTAATGGATGTCAGAGTAGAATAGTGCTTCATAGGGTTTCAATGGCTATGACCTTTCAGAAGCACATCAACAGGCCTTTCTTCTGAGGTGCCTTTGAGTAGGTCTGAACTGCCAACCTTTATTTAGTGTTCACACACTGGCTCATTTGTACCATCTCATAAACCATTACCTTTCTAACTAGCCTCTGAGATTCTCTGCCCCTGTAATCCCAGGGATGCTGCTGAGCTGATCATGTCCAAGAAGAAAGCACCACTATCCAGCACTGGGCTACCTCTCCATATCTGAACATATGATATGTAGCATGGCATATCATTCATCCACAGAACCAAGGGACTTGGTGAACGCCCATCAGCCTTCTGCAGGAATGTGTTCTTACCAGTAGCTTGAAGACCAATCTTTAAAACCCAGTAAATATATTTTGAACAAAAATAAGCTCTAGAAGGGAAGAATTATGCTTAAATCTTCCCCAGGATTACACTACTTTTGTGGCCATATCGTAGCCAAGCTGAGCATCTCAGTGAAATGGAGAGTTTTAAAAGGCAAACTTCTTTATCATATGCATTCATCTTCTCTGATGCCTGTGAACATCAACCACCTCCTGATTGAGGGGGAAAGCTACACAGTGCTTGAAGACAGTGATAAGGAATGCTTGCCTCTCTTCTTCTGAGCAGCTCTGAACTTCACATTCAAAGTCTTTAGAGAACAGTAGACTGAGTATCTTTCCATTGGGGAATTTACAATGATCACTTCCATACTAAAGGATCCCCAAAAGACTTACATAAATAGAGTACTATATAATCCTGCTGTGGCACTGTTGAATGAGCTCTGGGCTGCCAACCCAATGTCAGTGGTTTGATCCCTCCTGCCACTTCTTGAAAACCCTATACAAGGTAGCTATGAGTCGAACTGACTCGACGGCACTCAACAACAAGAACCCTGGTAATGCCGTGGGTTACCCATTGGACTGCTAACCAACTGGTTGGCAGTTCAAATCCACCAGCCACTCTGTGGGAGCAAACTGAGGCTGTCTGCTCTGTAAAGATGTACGGTTTTGGCAACCCTATGGAGCAACTCTACTCTGGCCTACAGAGTCGATGACTTGGAATCGTCGATAGCAGTGGATTTAGATAATTCATTCCTCGATATAAATAGAGATGGCTTCTTAATTATACTCTTCTGTTTTAACTTTATCTTCCTGCAAATGCTGAACTGCTTTTTTGGCTACCTCATAATTTCTATGAGAAAGAACAAAAGTTATGCAGCTTCAAGTAGTACAAGAGCTTTTTACAACTTTGAGAGTCGGGGACCTTGTGCACAACAGAACAAAACACACCCAGTCCTGTGCTGTCCACATGATCCGTGGCTGATCAGGCCATTGTAATCCACAGGGTTTCCATTTGCTGATTCTCAGAAGTTGATCACCAGGCCTTTCTTCCTTGTTTCACATAGTCTGGAAACTCCACTGAAGTCTGTTCAGCATCTTTCCACTGACAGGGGTTAGCTGTACATAAAGTGTACTAGCCAGGAAATGATCACCTGGGCCTCCTGAATGGGAGGTGAGAATTCTGCCACTGAGCCACCTGTGCCTCACTATTTTACATCAATTACAAAGCTTGTAGAATTGATGGCAGTGTGTCTTTCTCTGATAAAGAGAAAGCTCACTCTTTACCTTTTTGTCCTATTCCTCTCTTCTTCCTTTATTTCCCTTGGAAAAAAAAAAGTTTGTAGGAAATGGAAAGACTATAGCCAGAATATATAGTTTTCTTAAGTATAAAATACTTGGACAGCTCCAGCATTTTAAAATTTTCATTTACTAAATATATGATATAATTTTGTTGTTGTGAAGTGCTGTCGAATCGGTTCCGACCCATAGCGACCCAGTATAGGGTTTCCGAGGAGCGCTGGTGAGCTTGAACCACCGACCTTGCAGTTCAAACAGCTTTGCAGTCTGGTGCATTAACCCACAGTGCCACACCAGGACTCCATATGATATAATATACATCAGCAGTTTTTAAAAATTCTTTTTAATGGGAAAAAGAATCAGACCCTTTTTAAATTTTTTAAAAATAAGACTTCTCATGCATTTAATTATTTTCTGATGTACTAACATATCAGGTGTTTCATTTTTATTCTATGATCAACATTAAGCTTTTACCCATTGTAACATATGTGGTCATACTAATAATTTATAGACATGGGATTATTATTAAGTCAAAATACAAGAATTTTTTTTTGTGTTGAAAAATTTGCAAATAGGATTCCAAAAAGTTAAAATCACTGTTTATGTGTGTTTCCTCAAAATTTTTTTAACATTGAATATTGTCAATGTTTAAAATTTTTTTAATATGGCATATGTCATTATTATGTTAATATGCATTTTCTTCACCACATACCACATTAAACCACTTTTGGGGGTGGGGTCTTTCATTTCTTTTTCTCTCTCTCTCTCTCTCCTTTTTTTTTTTAACATTTGTTGTGAATTAGGTGAAGGTTTACATACAAGATCACCTGCATTCCATAGGCAAACCATCCACCTTGTTTGATCTCAAGTGATTACAATCTCCTTCCTGCAACAACATTTATCCCTCTTCCTCCCTGTGGTTCACTTCTTGTTGTTAAGTCTGTTCTGACTCATAGCGACCCTGTACAGGGTTTCCAAGGCTGTAAATCTTTATGGGAGCAGAAAGCCTCATCTTTCGCCAGTGGAACTGCTGGTAGTTTCGAACTGTTGACCGTGAGGTTCGCAACCCAACTGGTAACCACTACGCTACCAGAGCTCATTTGTGGTTCAGTTACCAAACAAAAAATATATATATTCATTTACATGTCTAAAGGGCACATTCCACCAGCCAGCCTCCTGCTGTCACCTCTTTTTTAGATGAATTTCACACTCCACTCATGCTATACTCCTTCTTGGTGATCCTGGGGTCATCTGTTCCTGAAATGAAAGATTACCTACTCCTTCCTTTCAGTTACACATCTTCTACAATTACAGTTTTGACCATCACTATTAATCCTGTTCACAGTTATTCACAGTTGAGTCATCTGACACTTATTTTTGATGTTTTATTTTTAAAGAACTATTCTGGTGTGACCAGGAGAAACAAAATATTTTCCCATAGAAAGCAGCATGTAAGCAAATAGTTTCTTAGGTGCTTCAAAAGCTCTGACCCCAATTAAAACAGTCATGCTGTTGGTACATAGTAAAACCAAAACCAAAAATAAATATTAAGTAATAATGGTTCACTTAAACATGTGAGCCATAAAGCATTAAAATACATGAATGACGGTCATTTCCTCAGGTAACTTTTAGTGAATGTTTACCCTAGGGTTAACCACTTTGAAGGATTATGAAAAAACCAGGCTAATCTCACTGCCTTTAAGCAGGTTATTGTTGAATGCTGCTCTTTTATTGATTGGACTAAAGAGGACAAGATTTGCATTAGAGTTTTTCCTGGACCAAGAATGTACCAAGCATTTCCACGAACCACAACTTTAAATCTCTCTAGCACTCCGACAGTAGAGCCTACTCTTTCATCTAAAAGTGCCTCACAATATAGATCATTCTGATCACAGACTTCATACAAAAATTCAATCAGTAATTTAATGGAAAATAATTCCAACCACACAGAGAAGGTATATTACAGAATATGTAGGTGGTGATGTATATTGTTTTCATTTT